CATCATGATACACTTCATCTAAGGAAGAAGTATCCATGGGAGTGGATACTTATCATGGAGGAAAGGCCCACACAATTCACTTCAGTCCCATAAATGCAAGCTTTGTTATATTACACTACTGCATAAATCCATAGAAAAGCTGAACACTACCTGAGGCTATGAAGGCACGTCTCATAGTCCCCATACATCATTTCTAGGAGTGTGTAAAAAGCAGGCAGCTATGTTGATTCCTATCAAGAAAGAAGTTTTCATCCCCACTGGGAACAACTTTTTTGTAGAGCTGTTTGCCCATTCAAGACCAGTTCAGAGGAAAGCCTGGTGGAGGTGACAGATGACATGTTTGTCCTTAATGATCAAAAAGTCCTAGCATTGCAGCCTTGTGAGTTCGGACTACACTACATTATTGCACATCTTGGTCCCAAACCAGGAATACGCCAAGTTAAATGTAATGCAACTGTGTGCATGTCTCTTTACTAAATACTGTTAAGGTAAGTGTGTATTAGTGTTACACCATTAATAAAATTGTTTGGTAAATTATGTTGAGGAAGCATTGGTCTGAAAAGTGATACATAAATATTTCAAATAAATGATCAAAGCATGCAACTATTGTACGTACTTTCATTCATGTGTATAGCAAAGTAATATATACCAGAGAGAAAAAGAGAACAGATTTGTGTTCCAAGGAGACAAGAGGGGGAGCAGAGACAAAGTCAAGGCATTGAAGAATGTTACACAAATACCAAGATGTGGTTCCACATGACATCTGAGGTTCAAAACTTACACAGTGTTGCTGCATTCTGCTAGATGCTGAAGATGAAGAACATATGTTGGGAAGCTTTTAAAGTCACTTGTATTCATAGCTGCCGAAGTATGTAAAAATATAACATTCTACATATGGATTTAGAGGGGTTTTGTTTTTTGTTACTAGTGAAGTCCAGGCACCATCTGGGAGTGTCACATTCACCTCTGACAGCTGAGTGGAGATACAATAATTAAATTTCACAAGTGCTTATGTGGGAAAGGAACTGACAAGGAAGCATTCTGAAAGCATACCACCAATGAAAGAAACCCCAAGTAGATACTTTGGAGCAGCTCAGGGAGAAATTGTGCGGAATATATGTAAAGGTCATGATGCTGGAAAGATTTACAGCTCTCCTCATCATGTGGAGCAATTGATATTTTGCAATTAGAAACCTAATCATGTGAGAAGTTTGTGGACTTTTTTTGCCTGTGCAAATGAAAGACTGCTAAGCAATAACTTAGCTAACCAATGGTCAACTGCTTGAAATATTTGTTTTTCTGGGAAGCAAGAAAGCCAAAGATAGAGAAGACAAAAGTGAAAATTGTATCTGTAGCAAAAATGACATATGACTTTCTTTTATCATAATGGCTACCTAATATTTTATTTACTTTTTATTTGCAGAACTTAGCAATCAAAAAAATCAGTGAGCTCATCTCTTTCTGGGTAATACAATACACCTGTGCATACACCTGGGCAAAACAATATGAACATTTTTTAAATTGAAAAATAAATAATTTAAAAACATTCCAACAAGCCACAGAAAAAACAGAACAGCCACAATTATTACAAGCCAGAAAATGACTTTAGAAGTTTTCAGCAGGCCATAAAAGCTGGGTACCCTTTTTTTTCTCCAAAACCATGTAGGGAAGAATATTCCAGGAGTGTGTGCCATCACTGAGAAGGCTGGTGGCATCCCATTAGTCATAACTAAGGTCTCCATTGAGGATTTCAGGAGCTGACTGAATACACATAGGAGAAAGTGGTCTCCACAGTAGTTTTTATTATGCTATGGTGGAGGACTCAATTCAGTCACCCCAGATTGAATGAATTCTTCCATATTGTGGTTCCCAGAGAGCAGGAGAGCAAGAGCAAATGAGAGCAGGTATCAACAGCTTCTTGCTGGATCACTCAGCTTTTATCCCTTTATTAAAGATTGGACAGGCTATTCTTATTGCTACCTTTGATTGCTCACCTATTCTTTCCTTAGCCTGCTCACACTTCTTTTTTTAGACCCTGCATGGGGAAGGGCTGAGCCCTAGCAAAGCCATCTATAGACAAGATGGGTCTAAAGATCCTCCCCCCATTCCCATCCTGGCTGCAAAACTGTGGTCTCTAAACTTTTCAGGTGAGGGGGCAACCAACATTTTAAGAAAGTGGTTCTTTTACAAGTGACGAAGCAGAAGGTAACTTTTTCCTCTTCTTTTGGACCCTCAGAACCTTTGCTCAGGGAACCCAGCAACAGCCTTTCTTCATGTTCCAAAAAAAAAAAAAAGCCCAACAGGATCAATGCTACATCACAACATAGCTGAATTCACAAGGGCACTGCTGGAGTAAAAGTGGCATCCGCTTCCTTTAGCTGGGCCAGGATTAAGGTGGCTGAGGATGTGGTGTTGTTCTCAAAATAAGGCCGCCTTTCTGCACATTTCAAGCTGTTCTAGTGGCAGCATAGAAATTAAACAGCACAGGAAACAGCAATCCAAACTTCTTCATGTGTTTCAGCCCTGTATATTTGATGAGACGAACTGCCAGATTTCATGTCGTATTACGCAATTACTCAACAAACTCTCCAAATACTGAGGATAATAGAAACACTGGGAAATTCAGAAAGTGACTGTGAAAGAAGAGGAAGCAAGTTACACCCCTTGCCTAGTCAGGTTGTTGTAATGTGCATTCAAGTGGACTCTGACTTATGGGAGCCCTATCTTTACGTTTTCTTGGCAATAGGTATTCAATGGAGATTTGCCATTGCCTGTTTTTAAGGAAGAGAGAATGTGACTTACCCAAGTCACCCAATGGGTTTCCATGGCTGAGCAGAGACTTGAATCCTGCTGCCATACTGCAGAACTAAAGCAGTTTGATAGAGCTTTAACTATCATGGCTCCATCCTGTCGAATCCTGGGTTTTGTAGTTTGGTGAGGCACTAGAGTGCTCTGACAGAGAACGCTGAACATCTCACAAAACTACAAATCACAGAATTCTGTAGGATTGAGGCATGACAATTAAAGTGATATCAAACTGCATTAATTTTGAAGTGTAAATGCACCCCTAGTCATGCACTCTGACCACTATTGCACTCTGACCCTCAGCATATGAGGGACCTGGAGCAATTGTTGCAACAGAACCATTGATAATCCAGATCTGCATAATGACAAGAATTTATAGCTGAAATCCAGGCATCCATTTTGGACATCCCCCAAATACAGCAGGGTTGGCTTACTACACTCTGAAGTAAGTGAAGTGGTGTACATATCTTCGGAGAATGATAAGATCATTAAGACTATAATTTAAAATAATTTGCCACTAGATGCATGCTTTTTCTTCAAATTGAAAGAGCAAAGTTAAGCATGCTTTAAAAAGAAGAAAAAAGAAAAGCATAAAGTGTAGTTTGAACCTACAAAAAAAAAAGGCTTTAAATCCTGCTCCTAAGCAGTAACAAATTCATCACCTTGACTACTCTCTATGAGACCCACTTTACATGTAAGTTTTTTAGTGGTGTTCTTTCCACAAAACTGGAAAGAAGTGGTTGTACTCATGTTGCACAGTCAGCATGTAAAACAGAAGTGGGAATCATGTAACCCTCAAGATGTTAAACTCCCAGCATTCCTCACTATTGGTCATGATGGTTAGGGATGCTGGGAATTGCAATCTAAGAACAACCGGAGGGCCACGTGATGTAAAAACTGACTCATGTGGACAGCACAAGTCATGAGATACTTTCCATGATCATATCTCTACTGGCACCACTGAAGCTACCATAGAAAGCAAACCCTTGTGTCAGGTGACCTCAATATCTAGTGTGTGTGTGTGTGTGTGCCAGAAATAGTGCAAATTGAGTCCACTTTAAGGGTTAGGGTTAGTGCTAGGGAATCATGGGAATTGTTTTTTTTTTCTGGGACATTGAGCCTTCCCTGTCAGAGAGCTCTGGTGCCACAATAAACTACAGTCCCCATGATTCCCTAACTCTAACCCTAACCCTAAAAGTGGACTCGATTTGCACTATTTCTGGCAGTCTGCAACCCCCCTAAGACTGCATCTGCCTTGCAGAATTAATCCAGTTTGACACCACTTTTAACTGCCATAGCTCAATGCTATGGAAGTCTGGGAATTGTAGTTTGTTGTGGCACCAGAGTTCTCTGACAGAGAAGGCAAAATGTCTCACAAAACTACGGTTCCCAAAATTCCATAGCAATGAGCCAAAGCAGTTAAAGTGGTGTCAAACTGGATTATTTCTGTAGTGCAGATGCAGCCTAATACAGTTTTCTAGGTTCTTACATCTTTTGCTCACCCTGGAACAAACATGCAGTCACTGCACATTGCAATCCTATTCATACATACCTGGCAGCAACTCTACTCAACACTGTGGGATTTACTTCTGTGTAAACTTGCACTGGACTCTGCTACATAGCTCTCATTTACAAAAAAACGAGCCTCTGATTTTCACAGCTATGGCTTTGTTTGTTGCTAATGTAATGCTGTTTTTCAGGCAACATCTTTTAAACTCAAACTGACATTGCAGAGAAAAAGTAACCTGAGCACTTAATGTTTCCAGTTCCATGGGTAGATTGGAAAAATTAGAGAACGAATGAAAAGCTATGATCTCCACAGTTCAAATTGAAAGGGAGAGAGCATACTTAGAAAGATTAAGGGCAGCCCAAATCTCTAGACAATTAGAAAAGTGAAACTTCCCGTGTTTCAGCCCAAGATATTGACATTTGATGAAAAACAGGAGTAGCACTTGAAGTGAGATTACTGGTGTATATGCAAATGAAATTAAGACCACATTCTAGAGATTAAAGGGATCTCTTCAAAGAAGACCTGCCACCAGGAAGAAAAGACTACGAGTCATTGGCAACCCTAAGGCAAACCCTAAGGCAAACCTATCATGGGGTTTTCTTGGCAGGTTTCTTCAGAGGGGGTTTGCCATTGCCATCCTCTGAGGCTGAGAGTATGTGACTTCTCCAAGGTCAGTGGGTTTACAGGGCTGAACCAGGATTCCAACCCTGGTCTCCAGAGTCATAGTCCAGTGCTCAAACCACTATGCCACACTGACTTCCACATGTTACAGGTATAAACTGTGGCTATTTCCCTGTTGAAAAAGGTGTTTCTGTGGTTTTAATTCCCAAAGAAAACCTTCCTGGAATGGAATGCACATCTGATTTTTTAAAAAAGTTGGATTGGTTTCCTTGTTACAGATAGATCCATCTTAATATGGTAGATGTGTTCCTGGGCATAACTTCTTTAACAGAACATTTGGTACCAAAGGCAGCAATAACACAGAAAAAATAGGGATAACTTCCTACACTGTAAAAAAGGAAGAGAAAAGAAAAGGGCATGGAGAGGAACCTGCCTGACACACATGTCTGAAAAATGAGATGCACTTTTGTGGCAAACCTAATTTAGTAGTAACTTTGTTGAATCTTCTGACTTAGATTTTTAAAATTAAATATTCAAAAGGCAGTTAATGACAATTCAAAGTCCTGAGCATGGCTGGATAAATGGGTCAAATGTGGTTTCTCTCAGTTCCAAATTGATTTAAATCTCATGCTCTTCTCATCCCAAATATGAAGAACATGTAAATACGGGCAAAATATTGTTTTTTTTAAAAAAAAACTGAAAGAAATTTCTCTGCCATGCCTAATTTGCACTCAGACAGTTTTCTACATAGCATCAAACCAATATATTCTGATCAAGAGCCTGAAAGCCAACCACAATTGTTATCATTCCTATCTTGCCTCCAACCGGCTCTAGTCATCACAGCTTTTTTGGACTACAACTCCCAGAAACCCGCAGACAGTGGGTAGACAGATGATTCAGGATTTGCAGTCCAAAAAGTAACTTCTCCAGACTCTGATAATCACTACCCTGCAAAAGAGTTGTTCAGAACTTCAAAGGATATTGAAAAATGGAGCACGTAGATGGGATACAGGAATCTGTCAATAGTTTGTTGGAGATTCCTAATCATGGCTCAGCATGTATCTAAGCAGAATCTTTTATTACAATCACCATTAAAGTTGGAAAATAATGCCTCTATTTATACTTATTTCACAATGCTGTCTCCATCTCATTGCTGCATCACCTTCATTGTTGTCAGAGTGCACCTTGTCACTGATGGGGAAAACCCATCAACAAGCTCCCAAATGCCCTGCTGTACCATTAGTCCTCAGTTGCGATAAGTTCCTCCTGTGGCAGCTCCGATATCGGGCAGTCACATGGTGCCAGTGTCTCCTCCGCTTCTTCTGTCCCCCCCTTCACTATTCTCTTTTTTTTACTTCTCTTTTTTTTAAAAATCATATTAGCACATCTTATTTAAATAAATAAATAAATAAATAAATAAATAAATAAAATGTATGCTGAGTAGGGAATAAGACAGAAAGGCAGGTTTAGGAAGAAGTGCAGAAGATAGTACGAGGACCTAGTTGCACTATTGAAGAGACATGCTATACCAGGGTGACCAGATGTCCTAACCACAAAGGAGGACAAGGCACCCTAAAATGTAGGACATTCAAGAAAAATATAGGGCATTATAAAATAAAAACACTAATATAAATGTCAATTCGTGCTTCTTAGTCATGCCCAAAATGGAGGACATTTTGAAATTCCTCCTGGCCAGAAGGTTAAAATGTAGGACATATCCTGGAAACAGAGGACGTTTGGTCACCCTGTGATGTAGGAATGTTCCCAAACCAGTATGTATCTGGTTCCTTTAATCCGTCTTATTACATCTCTTACCGCTTTTAAGAAAGCAGTTAAAACGGAACTCTTCCGGCAGGCCTTCCCAGAATATTTTTTTTTTGCAGGGACAATATCTGGATCTACTCTGCCCTTGTCCTCCTCTCCGATTGGCATTCTGCTGCTACTGTCATTGCTGTTATTTTTAATTTATTTTAGTCACATGTTTGATTTTAATTCTATCAAGTTTAATTCTATTTTAAGGGTTGTGGGTTGTGGGTGGGGGGTGTATGAATCTGGAATGTTTTAATTATTGTATTTAACTTGTTGTAAGCCGCCCCGATTGCTTTGCAGAGGGGCGGGTTATAAATAAAAATTTATTATTATTATTATTATTACATGATCATGGTGAGAATAGGGCTCATGTGATAAACTGCTAAGTTTGGATTGCATATAGCTTTTTACCACTAAAGTTGACTGGGGATGCAAACTGGGAGGCTGCTAAAATTTAGAGATGATTCAGTCCTAATCTTTGTGATATGGTGACTAATATCAAATAACCAGACACCACGCTACACTAGTAATGTTCAAACATGAAAACCCTTATGGATGTTCTGGCTACTTGCCATGTCAGTACAATCCCTCTCTGCAAATGGGTTGACATTGGCATGAGAAGTGTCATAGTCATCCTCCTCCCCTGACCCATGTAGTCTTCTCTATTTTTGGTGGTCCCTGTATTGTGTGGTACTTGTCAAAACTGTGGGTCTCAATGCAAGAATAATAAAAAAAGAGAGACAGTGCCAGATCATAGCTGCTCTAAACCTGAGATATTGACTTTTAGATGGTAGATCAAGGTGGCCCTCTTCTGGAGGGCTTTTGTGTTGCTCTCCTTGCTTTTTTTTTTAACCCACCTATGGTTCATGTAAGATGATAGGAGAAACATACAATGAAATTCCATGTATCTTCCTTTTAAAAGAAATGAAAATAAACAGCATACAGAGGAAACTGATTCAGAGTAGGTTCATGGCATGCAGGAAACTCAGAGCTTGGAATTACATTAACGTAGGCTTCATCTACACCATAGATTTAGTGCAGTTTGACCTTGCTTTAACTGCCATGGCTCCATGCTATGGAATTCTGGGATATGTGGTTTGTTGTGGCTCCAGGGCTCTCTGACAGAGAAGATTAAATATCCCACAAAACTACAAATCCCAGAATTCCATAGCACGGAGCCATAGCCTTTAAAGTGGTGTCAAACTGAATTATTTCTGCAGCGCATATGCAGCCCTCGGTTTTGTAAAGAGTTAGATAAAAGTATCTTTTGTTTCCTTTGTTGTGTGGTTGTTCAAAATGTGACAAGGGAAACATAATCGGAATTTTGATATATCATCTAATTTGGCTTTTTTAAATAAGATTTTTAAAAATAAATGGCTACACTTTAATATGGCTTTACCTAATTTTCAATATGTTTTGTCAATGACCACGGAGATATTGAGTTGACACAGATCAAATATGTTTTCTTAACAGGTATTTTGCCTAAATACCTTGACCGCACCGATCCCATCTGATCTTGAAAGTTAAGTATAGTAAGGTCTGCTTATTACTTGGATAGGAAGCCACAAAGGAATAGCAGGTGCTATGAGCTATATTTCATACAAAGAAAAACCCATGAAATTCATGGGATCATCATAAGTCAACAAGTACTTGAAAGTACATACTTTTCTTAATAAAATGTAAAGTAATTCCAATGTTGCCTTTCTTTTTCTTCTGAAAACCAGGGTGCCTAGAAATAGCTCTGAGGATTCTTGATTGTAAAATAGTTATATAATCTACTCACACAGGCCCCAATCCTTCTGGTTAGTCTCAACCCGATTAGAGCCACTGAAACAATTGTTGAGTTGTGAGTGAACATATAGATACATCTGGCTGATTAATCTGAATTTACTCTTATCAGGATTAACAAAAAGATTTGAGCCATAGAATATGTAATTGTTCATTTTGTAGCACTGAAGCTTTTGGCAAAAGAAAAAGGAGGAGAGAAAGATAACATCCTGACATGTCCAGGAATATCAACATACTGACAAACCTATTGTATTCAGTTCCACCTGTCATAAGGCGTAAACCAAGCTCAGCACTCACTTCTATTAGAGTATAAAGAAGACCAGCACTAACTCTCACAAAGCTACTTGATTTTTATTTTTAAAGAAAGGGATAGATAATTTTAAAGCACATCTTGTGTGTATATATAGCAGATAATGTCATAAAATTCCATTTACCTTTTTGGACACTGTAACACATCTGGGAAGCATTTGAGGAGACCTAATATGTTATGAAGTGAGTTGGAAAAGAATATACTCTTCCACTATGTCAATTTTGAAGTGCTGCAATGAAAATTTTGAGGAGGTCCTTTAAGTTGCAGGCAGAGTAGCAGGGTTCTGCTGCAGATATTATCAATATCCATAGCAGAGAAATGGGAAAATCAGCTCATCCTGTCATTATTTTGAAGGACCTTCAGTGAAGAAAGGGGCCACTATGTTATTTACATTTGCATACAGAGGCCATTCGTGTGCAGGATTGAATAAAATGGGGATTCCTTCCAAGTAAGGAGGCACTGAACTGAACCCACAGAAGAATGTAGGAAGCCATCTTGTGGTAAGTCAGACCACAGGGTCTATCTAGCTCAGTAATGTGCACACTTGGCCGTATCTCTCAGGGTTAGGATGTGTCCACACTAATGGGAAAACCCAGTTTACCATTGGGGCTTCCAGATCTGTGAGGAGGATGAGTTGTCCACACACCTGGCAGCCACAATGAGCCAATACTGGCAGTAGTGTCCACACAGTCCCCAGGAAATCCATCTCCTTATTCTCCCATGGCTTGTGGGGGCAACGGCCATCCTATTGAGTATCGGTGCACTGTACTGATGGTAATGATGTGCTAGTGTTTGTTTGTGCGATCAGTTTGCACATCTGCAAAAGGAATTGTCCTGGAGAAACTGTGCGAACTTGGAAGTGAAAATGCTGTGGCAAGGAGTTGGGCATTCCTGGTGGGAAGAGGTCAGTGGCTTGCTTGCCGCCAGCGCTCCATCCCT